TATATAGGGTCACTATGAGTTTTTGAATATAGGGTTGTATATAGGGTCACTATGAGTTTTTGAATATAGGGTTGTATATAGGGTCACTATGAGTTCCAATCAACTCGGTGGATTTTGATTTTGGAATAACATGTGAATAAGGAGCTCTAGTGGCTTGCTGCTTAAACACTCAACCACTAACTGAAAGGATGGCTGGTTCAGTCCCCCCACCCCCTCTCCCCTGTCCAGGGGCCCCATGGGACACAGGACCTGGTGATCTGCTTCCACCGAGGTCTATAGCATCAGAACCCCCAAAGAGGATGTTCTCCTGTGTTTTACAGTTGCGGTGACTCAAAAACCAGCCCGATGGTGTGGTGGGTTACCAGTTAAACTACCAATTACAAGGTCAGCAGTTGGACATCACTTGATGCCGTGTGGGAGAAAGATGAGGCTTTCTACTTCTGTAAAAATCCACAGTCTCAGAAACCAGAAGGGGGAATTCTACCCTGTCCTGTACGGTCTCTATGCGTCAGCATTGACATGATGGCAGTGAGTCTTATTTTTTTATATGCTTTCAACTTGACCCATCCACATATAACAGTGATTCCTGACGTGGAACATTTTCCCGGGGGTTCGTTTGCATCTATGTTTCTTTGACAGGGTACCTCTTCAGATCTTTTACCCACTTTGCAAGCTGGTGGCTTGGTTTTTGATTGTTGAATTTCAAGAGGTTGTTTTAGGTGGTATATTTTGGATGCATATCCTGTACAGGTGCATGATTGATGAGTATTTTCTACATGCCTGTGACTCGTCTTTTCTTTCTCTTAAACTTTCTCTTATTTTACAAAAATACAAGCAAATAGAAAAGGCATTTTCTCCTTGCTGTGTTGTTAGAAACACCATGAGTCTGGTGTGGGATGAAGTGCAGTGTCCTTGGCCAGGTACTGAGGTCACGGATGGTCCACACACCCTGCCCATCTCTCTGGACTTGCCAGTCCTCCTCAACGCCCTTGGCTCACTGAGCTGGGGCTTTCCAGAGCATGTCATGCATGTTCCTTGCATTGCTGCATCTTTGCCTGACTATCCCCTTCCCCCCCTTCAGCTGACCACCCCCTCAGGGCTCTCGGGTCGGGGGGACTTCTGTTTCACTGGGAACTCTTCCACCCACCCCAGCCTGCCCCACGAGGCACCATGTCACTGTGTTCACCCTGTTACGCGGCTCATCTCTGTACCGTGGCTGCTTGCTCATGGTGTAGATTTGCCAATAGACTTTGAATGGGTGTCTCTCTCATTTGCATAACAGTCCTTTGCCTGGATAATAATTAAATAACAAAACTCTACTGGACAGCTGGTTGCACGTGTGAAGAAACAAAGAACAAGCACACGGCCGATCGTACACTCTTCTCGAAAAGAGAAGGGCTATGAAGAAACAGATGCTTTCTTTCCCTAATTTTCCATGTTTTCCCCCTACAGGAGGTCTGTAGCTGGCATATACGGTGCTGCTGGAATCCTGTGGCAAATACCAGTGTCCCCTGGTGTTTCTTCCCCAAGAACTGGGGCTACAAAGTCCATGATGGCCCCACCAACACCAGCAAGGGTGAGCACTGCGGCTGTGGTGTTGCCTCAGGGAACAACTCACTATGGCCAAGAAACTAATAACAGCTCTTCCACCACCACCCCACTCCCTCTTAGGGTTCACTGCCCTGCTGAAGAGGCTACCATCCCCAACTCTGTTTGGAAATGATGTTCCCAACACTGTCTTCACGGCCGAGTATCAGACATCCAATCGTTTCCATTTCAAGGTTGGTCTGGTAGCTACCCCCTGTGCACAGCTGTGAAGACAGCAGAGCCTCCTGTGGGTTCAGATCGCTGTCCTTCAGGACTAGGGGTGGGCTTGGGGGATGACAAGGGACAGGATTCAGCACTTCTCATCAGGAATCTCCGGACTCTATCCTTGGTTGACTGTGATTTGATGGGGGACGCATGATTAGCTCATTTCTGCTCACAGATCAGAAGCCACCGGACTAGAATTGGAGGCTGTTCTTGGGGGCTCTCTGGTTTTGTCTGGACTTGTCCCCTCTCTTTTTCAGATTACTGATTCCATTAACAAGCGATATGAAGTCCAACATAAAAATATCAATTCACTGGCTCAGACGGCTAACATCTCCAATTTCAGCTACCACGTCGAAGTTGTTAATGAGCCTTTCAGCATCAAAATAATGAGGACAAGCAACGGAAAAGTCTTGTGAGGTTTCCTTTATGCATCTTTGAATGTAAAAAATAAGCCCCCAAACTGGAAACAATTGCTTTCAAGGGGATCCCAGCTCACAGTGACAGCAGAGGACAGAGTAGACGTGTGCTGGGGGGCTCCCGGGCTGCCCTCTCTGTGGAGGCAGACTGCGCATGCTCCTCCCACGGAGCGGCTGGTGGGCTCCCTGGCAACCGTTCCGTTAGCAGCTCCATGCCCAACCACCACACCGCCAGGGTTCCCTGTGTCCGGGGAAGCACAGTCTCAATCTCTCTAATCTTAAATGACTGGGGGTGGACACTGAGGTTTAAGCACGACTTGGGGAAAAGGACCATGGCAACGTTCTTACAGCCGACCTGTCAGAATTGCAGAACCAAGACTCTCACCGTGTAACGTGTGAGTTCGCTGCGTTGTTCAAATGCGCTTGGGGTTCGCACACATCACAGACAGGGATTCCGTAATTCTAAAGTAATATTTGCAATGCAGGTCCATTTCATGGGTTCTAACTCCCAACGATCATTTCCAGAGAAATTTCTCATCAAATACGCCACAGGATTTTGAGCCTAAATCACAAATCACCCTGGAGAAAATACAAGTCTTACTGTCAATGTAACCTGTTTTCAGATCTTGCGAGAGCAAATCACCAATTGCATGATGACATTAGGCAAGATACCCAGCCTCCCTGTGACCTGGCCCATAGAAAGGGGATTGGGATGTGTACCTCTGAGACTATTCATCAGTCCCAGTGTGGTTGACTAACTTTGAGCGGATGATATCCCTATGGGTGCAGAGGAGAACTGATCCATAGGGTTTCCAAGATATGATCTTTCTGATGGCAATCACTAGGCTCGCCTTCTGAAGTGCTCCCTAAAGACACCACGTCTCTAAGGCATCCAGAGCAGTATCTACAAAGCAGTGGATGTACAGGGAATGGAAATTCATGCTTACACTCTTATCCCAAATCATCCCACTCGAGTTTCTGGTACCCAGTCCCTGCAGTGTACTCCCCCAGGATTCAGGAATCTGAGATACCTTCCAGGACCTCAGAGGCCGCATGAAAGCTGACGGAAACACCTGGAACATGCGGCCTCTGAGGGCAGGTGGAGAGGGGTAACTTGGCAGAAAGAGATGTTGGCTGACTCTCTCTTCCCATGGCCCAGGTTGGACACGAGCATTGGTCCCCTCCAGTTTGCCCAGCAGTACCTTCAGCTGTCTTTCCGTCTGCCCAGTGTGAACGTGTATGGGCTAGGGGAACATGTGCACCAGCAGTACCGCCATGACATGACCTGGAAGACCTGGCCCATTTTCACGCGGGATGCCGCCCCTGTGGAGGTGAGGCTCCCTTTCTCATCCTTGCTCCTCATGATCAGGAGGACCTTCCTTCATTTCCAGAAAGTTCCGTATAGAGGAAGGGCTATCTGATCCTGTGTCCAAATCTAAATCTGCTTGAAATGGGAAGTACTTGTTCTTGAGGTCTGCAGACATACAATTATAAATAAAGTGCGTCAAAAATATGACTTTTAAGGGAAACACGTTGTTGTTGGTGCTGCTCGTTCGGACTCATAGTGACCCAATGTCCATCGTGTGAAAGCACCGCCCAATCATGCATCCTCCTCACAATTGGCTGCATCCATTGTGTCAATCCATCTCATGGAGGGTCTTCCTCTTCTTTGCACAGCCAAGCACGCCGTCGTCTCAGGGAACTGGTCTCTCTTGATGACATGTCCACAGTACACGTGTTGCAGGTTCAAATAAATGACAGCCACTATAATGTCTTGATAATTTAGAAGAGTCTTTATTCGTTCTAATCTAGCTGTTAGAATCTAAAAGCGATTCTTTAATAGCAGTCCATCTTAAAAGGAAAAAATTCATTTATCATTTTTCTAGGAC